CAATGTATTGGGTTTGAATTCCCGAGCACTTGCGTTTGCGCTTTTGCTGTACGCTTGCGTATGCCAAGGTTTGTTGATATGTCAAGGTTTGGTTGAAATGTCATGAAGCACTAGTAGCTCCATTGCTAGTAATATACCCAGTTAAATCGACTTCCATGCTTTCCCCCGGGAAACCATCCGTCTGACCATGGTTGTCTTGTGAAATTTGTCACGAGAAGTCATCTTCATTATTTTTTTTTTTTATTTATTTATTTAAGGACAACCAACAAAGCATACATTTATATTTACTTAAAATACATTATAATAAGGTTACCAGAGGGAGACTTTGTACAAAAGTCGATTGCTTGGGTACCTCTGTCTCATTCGTGTTTCAACCGGAAAGCAGTTGTGTTTGCATGGCTGTGTTTCGGTTTGAAGGGTGGGATATGGCGTGAATTTACTGCGTACAGAGGAATAACACCTGAGTCCTCAGGAATGGCAACGCATGGGGGGTATCATGGGCGTAACAGTATACTCTGTTACGTCCATGGTACTGCTCATGTCTATAGGCGACGGTTACCACTTTCCATCGGGTGGACCGTCAGCTTGTTTGCCATTCTAAGTTGTATAAAAAAATCCTATGTTCAGCTTCCGCATTGTTAAGACCATCCATTTTGCAGAGATTATTAAGTTTTTTTATATATAAATGGGCACGAATAATAACTAAAGTGCTTGGATTAAATTGTATTAATACTTCTATAATAGGTACTAAGATACAGTTAACAAATGGTTGCTATATGTCTAATTAGTGGTGACCTCGACCAAGTACTCGCTATTACGGTTTACTTCCGAGTACACTCGATTGTACCGTGATACAATCGTGTGCCCTAAATAATAACATTGTACATCATTATAGGTTTCATTTATCTACGCGTAATTGTACTTATGACATTGTATCCGAATGAGTAAACAAAATCGGATCATCTGATACATCGAGTTTTAAAATAAAAAAGATATATAAAAAAAAAAAACAATATAATCCTTAAGAACGTGATCAAATAAATAAAATAAAATAAAATAAATAAATAACGTGTTTATTGCTATTAAAATGACAAAAAACAAATGAAACAATAAGAAGTAGAATTATAATAGTAGAATAAACAAATTGTCAGTGAGGTTGATTCTAGGGCGCTAGTTCTTTTTTTTTATACCACTGAGGTGGCAAACAAGCATACGGCACACCTAATGGTAAGCTAAATTTATCTCCTAACCTCATATGCATAACTCTATATGTACTTAAAAAACGAACAGAGTTTCGTGTCTCCAGTCAAACTGTTTATAATTACTCTTCTCCATCCAAAGGTTGCCTGGTAGAGATGGCTCTTAGCGATAAGTCCGCCCATTGTTTTCTTTGAGTGTAAATATTTTCTTGTAATTGTTTGTATATATAATAAGTTTACTATTGTAATCTTTTGGAGGAAACAATAAAGAGTATCTATCTATAAATATAAAGATTAATTAATATAATATTAAGTAATTAATAATGATGTAATCAGAGACATTCGTCAACTTTTGCTGTTATGGTGAATAACACTCGACATATGCACATTTGCCGAAGGTATTATCAGCTCATGGGATTGGTTTGTTATCAGTATTTCCCTTTACCGGAGAGTTTTTTATATATATATATATATATTTTTATACAACTTAGAATGGCAAACAAGCTGACGGCCCACCTGATGGAAAGTGGTAACCGTCGCCTATAGACATGAGCAGTACCATGGACATAACAGAGTATACTGTTTCGCCCATGATACCTCCCATGCGTTGCTATTCCTGTGAAATCAAGATGTTATTCCTCTGTACCCTGTAAATTCACGCCATATCCCACCCTTCAAACCGAAACACAGCCATGCAAACACAACTGTTTCACGGTAGAAACACGAATGGGACAGAGGTACCCAAGCAAACGACTTTTGTACAAAGTCTCCCTCTCAGAGGAACCGTGTGGAGGTCGACCTGATAAGATATATTGTAGGCAATGGGGCTGTTTAACCCCATTACTAACAATTCCTTCCCCTCCCGTCACCGGAGAGTTAATCGGATATACAAATTGATGAAAATTTTTGGTGTCGACTGCATTCAAGTTCACCATTTTTGAGTATAAGCATAAGTCGATGTAGTATCATTGATAAAATAATCTTTTCCTATGTTAGGACACCTTTGGTCACGACGATTATTTAGGTGGATATCTAAATAACAGAAAACGAAAAACAATTAGTAAATACTAGCTGTTTCTCGTGGTTTCGCCCATGTGAATTCGGCTAATATTATGTATTTGTTGTAATGTTTTATGTATTTGTTGTTAAGCGTGTTGAGTCTCCCATCCGAGAAATAGGTATTGGCGATACATATAGTTATGTGCATTGTATTGTATGTGATTTATAAATGTATAATTTTTGTAAATATATTATTATATATGTCTGTATGTTAATTCATTTTAATTTTTTTTTATTGGTGAAAATGGTATGGTAATGGTGACTCCGCCTGCGCTAACGGGATACGCTGGCGGAGCACGAGTGAAGTGTGATAGATGAGAATGAAAAAAGGCCAGTTAGCCCATCATGATGAATTCATCAGGAATTAACCATGATAGTTTCCAGGGGAACCGCGAGGAGGTGGACCTGGTTGGGTGATATACCCAACCAATATATATGGGATTCTCAGTCTCCATTACTAACAATCCCTTTCCCCCCTCTTAAAATATATTAATGATGTCATTTATCAACATATTTATTTTATTTACAAATTGTTTTTGTTAGATCTATGCACCGCCATTTTTTCTCTTTAGCGTAAAGGTTGACTGGTAGAGATTGTCATTAGGCATTAAGTTTGTGGACATATTTTAATGTGTATAAAAGTACAAATGAATAAATATACAGTAGGATTAAAGTTATAAAAGCAGAAATTGCTAGTATAACTCTCAGTTTTAGGGCGCTGTTCCAGTTTTCATGCATTTGTACGCACGTATCGACTGACCATCGACAATATGACAATTCTTTGTTCCACTCAGGTAGTGTTGCTTCCCAGAAATGGCGTTGTTTGCGCCTTTGGTCAGAGCACATCCTCCTTAAACAAAAGCTCGTTTTTAAATATTAATGGAGCAGCCATTCCAAAGGCTGTTTGTGAAACATTAGTTTAAATACTGTGTAGATAAGAATGGTGCGTGGTAATACCTTTTTTGTATACTCTCTTGTTGTAATTGATTTATTTTGAATTGTATTTAGACAGAGGATAGTTTCAAAGTGTGTGTTTGCTTTTTTTTTTAAAGATAGATGTATTGTGGAATGTACAGGGAAATGATTTAGCAATCCGAAAATGAGCGATAGTGTTTGTAAAATTTAACAACTTTTCACATAGAAAGCAAGTATATAGGCTTCATTGAACGATTGTTAAACGGCGAAAACTAATTATAATTAATGTAATCATAAATATTCTTGTAGTAAGAATTCTAGTAATATTATAAATGTGAAACCAGAGGGAGACTTTGTACAGAAGTCGTTTGCTTGGACACCTCTGTCTCATTCGTGTTTCTACCCGTGAAGCAGTTGTGTTTGCATGTTTGCTGTGTTTCGATTTGAAAGGTGGAATATGGCAGTGAATTTACAGGGCACAGAGGAATAACACCTTAGTCCTAAGGAATGGTAATGCATGAGGGGTATCATGGGCGAAACAGTATACTCTGTTATATCCACTGCTCATGTCTATAGGCAAGGGTTATCACTTTACATTAGGTGGGCCGTCAGCTTGTTTGCCATTCTAAGTTGCATTAAAAAAAAACTTTGGAAAAATGTTGCTGCAAAAATGTTAGTCTGACCAGATTTTGTAGGTACTTGTTACCCAAATTACCAAACTACATGCAAAACCTAGATATTATAAGTTTGTTATCTTTACTAGTGTTTCTTTTCTCTTATTTTATCTTTGTTGTTAAATTTTATTTATGTTTCATTTTTTTATATCTATTTTTTTTTTCTTTTATGCATGTATAGTTTACCAATAATTATTTGTCCAATATTTGTAATATACCTGTATTGTAAAGTAACAACCTTACCAAAATATCATTGTACCTATTGTTTGTAATCCTAAATAAATAAAGTTGGGAACGCCGCAGTATATAGCTAGTGGTAATAATAGTGTCGCTGTGATAGATTTACTTATTTATTTCAAATAGGCTCGCTAATAGTATACATTATATTATATATAAATAAAGTAAAATTTTTTGTAAAGTAGTTGTCATGATCTGTCGGTCGAAAGATTATTGTCTTTGATACGGAACACTAAAAATGATGTAGTAGGTTGTAGATATAAGTGCCTAATCGATAGTATTGAATAAAAAAAATAAACACGTGTGTTATCTATCAGTACAGCACCTGCTTATCATCAAAAATGCATGTTAACATTGTCATTGTCTTATTTCACAATTTGGCCAGACTTAATACCTAATTAGTTAATAAAGAATTTGATTTTGATTTCTCAGAATAAATATTTATACTTATTGTTATTATTAGAATTAGGTTAAGTGGGTTAGTTAATATATTTTGTTTAAGCAGTCTATATTCGTTATCATATCTTCTTGATAAGAAACTTTAACATGTGGTGGCAATTTCATTATAAGAAATACCTGCAAAGTGTAAAAATATAGCAGTTCAGCTCATTTTATTACTTTTGTTTGAATAAATGGAGTTAGATTAAAGAGTTAATTTTTTAAACGCAGATCGAGGTGTGAGATTTCGCATCCGTCTGTACTGTAGTTAACGACCGCCATTTTGAATGTGTTTATGAATGTATTACATAGATGGCGCTAGCAGTGTGTGGTGATACTTTACAGATCCGATCATCTAAACTGGAAGATAGTATAAAATGATAATAACAATCCGTAATATTGTTATCAATTGTACTTTGGAGTCTTGTGACTGAAATTATGATAATGAATAGGGAGTGCGCAATAAAATAATGCAATATACAGATGGCAGTAAATATAATCAGAAAATATTTAACCAGTCGAATAAAGTCGGTATAAAAATTCATGATAAATCGTTATTCATACAAATACAATGTATTGTCTTTAATGATTTAGATTGCTCTCTTACAATAATAGTTTATTGCTTTATACAATATCGTATCGAGTATAACATTCGATAACAAAACTAACTAACTTAAAACTAAACCAGTCGTCCACTCGATCAATCTCATACACGATAAACACTTAATTTAGATTATTTTATTAATAATTACATATCACAATCGAGAGACGTCAATCGACACAACTCACACTCATACACAAAATAATACAAAATATAAAACGAAGGCACGAGATCTTACTACATTTTACGACTATGCAATATTTAATAAAATTGCGCCAAAACATGTTATGCTAAATGCATGCGCGCCAAAAAGTGGCAAGTATCAGTCGATGTGTTGCATTTGGAAGAGTAATTAGAAGACTATCATAGTTACAGTAGCTATAAATGTTAAAGCGGTTCTGGAATACAATGACTGCGGCCCGGCGAGGTCGTTCCCCGCTACGGGCTTAGGTAATGGAATGTCGGCTTGCAGCCGCTCCCCGCCGGCGCTCTTTGTGCGGCCGCCCCGCCCGGGCAGCGGCGCGGGCGCAGCGCAGGTAGCCCGAGCACCACGTTGCCGCACTGCACCGCCCGCGACGCGCACCGGGCCTTCGATTGTAATAAACACCATGATGCTAGGACGGCACGAAGTCTCTTAGCTACCCACTTTTTATCGGTTTTTATCAAATAGAAGCATACACGCTTCCCACTAACCGTCCGTACCTCCATTATCACTAAGGCGACTACACAGAGTCCTTTCCTTCGAACTTTTGAGCTAAATCACCAATAAACTCTTTATAGATCAAAGGGTCAATGTTTTTGCCAAGTTGATACAGCACGAACCAGTCGCCGATTTGCAGTTTGCGAGCCACGGCCTCCACTTCGCTCTGAGGAGCAAGACGGCTGCGGGCGCGCAGCAGGTACAGGCGCACGCGAGGTCCAGCCACAACGGCCATGCGGTAGATCAACGAGATGCCGCTCAGGATGGATAGTATCACGAACCAGAACCACAGGAACACGTATATCTTCTCATTCACGATGTTAAGCGGTAACACGCACAGGCCGTCGAAGTTCTGCACGGTGCCAGACGGACCGTATTTGTGGAAGGTACATTTGGTCACTTTAGGAAACACTCGAGCCATCGGGTCCTCACGTTCTTCTGGTTCCATTTCGGTAAAACGTACAACGTCAGCACCGTATGTAGAGAATTCTCCGTCGAGGAAAAAGTCCATAAAGAATATTTGGCCGACCACGTTAATAAAGTTTAGCACTTCGCATATAAAGAAGCGAAATGCGTAAAAGTTTTGCGTGTGTAAGTTTGTGTGGAAGTAATCCACTAGTAGTTTTTTACGGTCTGCTTTACTGTCCTCTCCGACCACGGGGCAGTTGAGATCGAGCACTAACATCTTGATGCGGCCTCCTTCCCACGATTTCCATAGATAGCGAGGCACATAAAACAGGATCGCTTGGAAAAACAGCACGAAACACACCCACTGGTAGTATTTATGATATTTGACTTCATCCTGTCCGTCGACATGAGATGCGACGCCAGCTTGCACTACGTCTTTCCCGACGCGGCCCACCAGACGATTTGGGATGGTGAAAGTCGAGTAGATCCAGCAATATGTGTCCATAACTTGCAGTGGTATTTCATCAACGATGCAGTCGATCGGGTCGCCGATGTATTGTCTCGAGGTAACCAGTAGCGAGAAAGCGATCAAGATGATCACGGTGGCTTTGTAGTGTAAACGAAACACATTATTGTCGATGCAAACAGAGTCGAGTTTGAGAAGCCCCTTAACGGAGCCGAAAACGTCAAACATGGCGCTAATGCTAGCCGCGGGCGCGCGGCGCGTCGGTCGCGTTCGTTAGAAAGGCGGGCGTGCGTCTCGCCCTAGCGTCGAGTACGGAATGTTGGAGAGACGAACGCGGCGCCTGACAAGAGGGGCGCAGGCCCAAGCGGGGCGGGCGGCGGTGTGGTGGGGTGCCGGGGGCTCGGTCCCCCGCCACGCGTCGCGCAGTCGCAGAGTCTGTACCTCGGATCAACGACACAGCACTGACCCTATTTCCACTTATTCGTGGCGTCATCTGGTAGCCACGAGTGCGCTGCTGCCAGCGGCTATGCATCTCGAGATGTTGGTGCCACCACTGATTTACCGAGTGGCGTTACGTTGCGTCGCATGTGTTCTAATTTACTTAATAACTATCAATCGGTTACCACATCTGTGAGAACGGTACGTTTGACTTCCTCGGAGTTCTAAAGAACTTAATTCTACACGTCATATCGTGTGGACGAGTATGCATCTGTTAATATGAATCGGATATGGCCGATTGTGTGATGCACTAGGTACTACGTATTAGAAAAAAAAAGAACGTTCTTTGTTTACTATCGTTCGTATTATGGAGTTGATGAATCAGTCACAATATTTTACTATTTCCTGTTGTAAAATTATGTCATTAGCGAGCAGATAATCGTGTCAGCGATTATGAAACAGATAAAATTAAGAATGTCCGTGTAGTTATATGAAATACAATATTGGCGGGATACGTCACCGTTTGTCGACGACGTTAATCTATTGTTACAGATAGGACCGGAGAGCACGTTAGACGTCACTGCACATAATAGGCAATTGGTTAACCACAAGAGTACCTTCTTTTATTTATTTTAGCGTTTATTCAAGCGTATTTTTATAGATATTTTATATTAAAATAAAATTTAGTATATCAGAGCATCAACTAAACGCTGATGAACTAAATACAGAGGCATTAACAAATATTCCAAAATTTTGTCTTGCTTTTAATAAATAAATATAAATTTGTCATACAATTTGTAAACTATCGGCGTGGAAATATTTAATTACATCTACTAATGCATACCTACATAAATTTTTTTATGCAACTTAGAATGGCAAACAAGCTATCGGCCCATCTGATGGAAAGTGGTAACCGTCGCCTATAGACATAAGCAGTACCATGGACATAACAGTATATATACATATATTGTTTCGCGCATGATACCTCCCATGCGTTGCCATTCCTGAGTACTCAGGTGTTATTCCTCTGTACTCTGTCAATTCAATGCATAGAAGCTAAATAAAATAAAAACTTATAAATTAGCTTAAGTCTAATATTTTAGTTAGTTCTCCTAGATTTTCATTCTTAGGTTTCTTATAAAATAGAAGATTCTTTTAAACTTTAAAGACATAAATATTAACAAAAATGTTATGTTAACGTTGTTAAAAAAAAAAAAAAACACGGCGTCATCATGAGAATAGAGTTACATTTGTTAATCTTGTTTAGTTTCATCTTACGGAGTTTCTAAAATTATAGGTTAGAATAATTTTGGGCTTCCGTACAAACCAAGATGCCACTTCTCTCATTGAGAGAGTGAAGTATTCGAAATTTGAATAGAGTAATGTGTTTCTTAGTAATTGTTATGATACTTATTAAACAAGGATTAAGAAAAGAATAGCAGTTACTTGTAATGAGCTAATGACTCATTTGATGCAATCTAATAACAATGTTCCATTTGCAAACGATGTGTCAATTATAGTACCGTAATGCAGCTGTTAATTCTAATGATAGATCATTAATAAATGACTTATGTGGATTGCAGCGAGATATGTCATGATTTGATAGACCAAATGAAATTAAAATTTTTGAGGGCAAATTGCATTTAGCATGAGTAAAATCACTGATATTAAAATTTTCCTAACCTAATTCCCTGGAAACCATAATGGTCACTATAGGCTAATTGACCTGCCTTCATCCTCACCTGACATCCTTCACTACCCCGCCAGTGTATACTGATAGCGCAGTCGGAGTTACATTGAGTGCACAACTGCTTCACGGCTGGGGGGAAGGGATTGTTAGTAATGGGGATTAGCAAACCCGTTGCTAGCAATAAATCCTATCAGGTCGACCTCTTTGCGGTTCCCCCTGGAAACCATCGTGATTGGTTTATTGTTGAATTTGTTACGATGGGCTAACTGACCTGCTTCACCCTCATCTATCATCCCTCACTGGTGTCCCGCCAGCGTATACCAATAGAGCAGACGGGGCTACCATTTCATTATCATCCATTTAAAAAAAAAAAGAAACTGCTTCACGGTTGAAACATGAATGGGACTGAGGTACCCAAGCAATCGACTTTTATACAAAGTCTCCCTGATGGTAAATGGTTAGCGTAGCCTATAAACGTCTGCAATACTAGGGACATTACGTGCGCGTTGTTAACCCTGATAAAAACTCTTTCCTTTTTTTTTGAAAAACCTAATGTTGAAAGACTCACGGAAAAATCTCGAAAGGGTTGTGCTGATAAAAACTTACTTGTTAAAATTTAGATTCTTAAGGGGTATATTATGGGTATTTATAACATGGGACGGGCATACCAGAAAAGATCAAAGGAATTTGCAAAGAACAAACGATACCAAACAATGTATTACAATAACAATAAAAGGGTTAAATTTAAAACTGTAGTGTACAAACAAACAATCCAAATGGCCCTGAAAGAATAATAAAAACAGTGAAACTTGGTTTAATGGGGCCTGGATAAGTGAGAAACCTTCATAATTGGAATAATTTGTACAAAAGTCGATTGTTTGGGTACCTTTGTCTCATTCGTGTTTCAACCGGAAAGCAGTTGTGTTTGCATAGCTGTGTTTCGGTTTGAAGGGTGGGATATGGCGTGAATTTACTGGGTACGGAGGAATAACACCTGAGTCCTCAGGAATGGCAACGCATGGGGGTATCATGGGCGAAACAGTATACTCTGTTATGTCCATGGTACCGCTCATGTCTATAGGCGACGGTTACCACTCTCCATCAGGTGGGCCGTCAGCTTGTTTGCCATTCTGAGTTATATAAAAAAGCGAATATGATAAATAATTTATAAAAAAAAATAAAGGGGGAAATTTACTATGCAACAAAACATAGTTTACACAGAGATCAGGAAATGCATTGATAAGTTATTATCAGACCTTGAAATTATGAGGGACGAATGGATGCTAGCCGTTTGTTTTGTTGCAATAAGTGATAAATTTATAATTCTGCGTATCTATTTTGCCCAGAATAGACACGACTGCCAGTGTTGGGTTTTTTGAAAAAAAAAAACACGAAAATAACATGGTGTTGAATGATAACTATAAAAATATACTCACAATAAAAATACGGGTAAATTTTTGAACATTACCATAACAATAAGAAATACTGGTTATTTACGATTCATATAAAAAAAAAAATATTACAGAATGATTCTCTGTCTCTTTCTTTCTTTAGAAAATTACGATATTTCCCTATTGGTGTATGTATTATCAACTTATCAATGGTTATTTAACAGCTGTGCTATACCTTGAAACAAATTTGAATTTGGAATGTTAATATTAAATATTTATGTTCAGGGTTGCCAAGTACGATATTTGTTTTTGTGATCCAAATATGAAATATTTTTTCTTCAAACTGATATAATTTCCTTTACTTATATGTAATCACAACTTGTGTCAGATTTCACTACGTTTTGTTAAGTAATCACTGCTCAGATCAAGAAAAAGAAATGATTTGACTGTCTCATTGATATCTTTTATTGATTTTTTTATATACTTATATACATCATGTCATATAGGGAGGTCAAAGATATGGCCTGGAATAGAGCTGGCTGAAATAAAATACATGAATTAGTTACACCGACAAGAGCAAACTTTTTCTCTCGGTTTACTACTAAAAAGAATAACTTAAATTTCTCCAAGCTTATTTAACTTTACTATGAAAACTTTGACATATTTATTTCTCTAAAAATATCAAATATAAAAAAATTTACCTAAAATTCAGGAAAAATACCCATCGGTGTTTAGGTATATTCGAAACGCATGTCGACGTGAATATGTTTGCGTAATCCAACAACTGAAAAACAACCATTATCGCGTATCACGATATATCTAACGTTCAGTGAGTGAATTCAATGCTCATTATTACAGCTACTTAATTTTAGAACAAATAATGGAACAATTAGTAGTTTTGGTCCCACGATATCATTAGTTAACTCGTAAAGTAACTAATCAATTAAACATATTTAATTGTTATAAGAAAATTACCAAATTAACTCAACAAGATCGTAATAAATAGACAAGTTATAACTCTTTGGAATTAACTTTCAGCAGCAGTATTTCTGAATCGATACGACATCATTACTTTCAAGTAAAGAGCATATTCCTTTTTAAAAGGCCGGCAACACACTTGCAATGAAGTTGGTGCTGTGGGTGATCATGGGCGGCGGTAGTCACTTACCATCAGGTGAATCGCATGCTCGTTTGCCCCCTGTGTTGTAAAAAAAGGTTATATTTAAACCTGCCCACTGTTGAACATAGACCTCCTCCTATTGTGGGGTTTTGCCAGTAGCTGTCCTCGACCAATAAGTTCCCTTAGTTGGCTCTCACGACACCCACAGGACAGCAAGGGGTGCCTCATTCTATGCCAAGGTCAAACGGAAATTTATTATATATCACAGGATTATTTATAGATAAATAGATAGACATTTATTACCATAATATATCATACATAAATAGCAAAATACCGCACAGATAAAAAAACTTATAACTAATAGTAATATAACTTATAACTAATAATAATGTAACTTATAACTATATATATATATATATATATATATATATATATATATATATATATATATATATATATATATATATATATATATATATATATATCATATCATATTAGCCTTTAGCTGTCCACTGTTGAACTTAAGCCTCCCCCTTAGGGGGTTTTGCCAATAGTTGCTACGGTTGACAGGCGGATTGGCAACCGCAGTTAGATTTTGGAGATGTTTTAAAGAGGGACGCTGCTGCCCATCCCTTGCCCTCTATAGTCGTCTTACGACACCCACAGGAAAGGAAGGGGAGGCCTATCCTACGC